TAATCGGTTGCATCATGGAGAACAAGATGTGCCTACACTGCAGCCGAGCTTATCTCATGGAACGGCTGAGCCACAAAGATATGATTGCATACGACCAGGTTTTCCGTCCACAGCACTGTTGCAAGTGCGAAGACGACTGATCGATGCGAAAACTCAGAGCCGTTCGATCGAGAAAAAAATCGCTTTGCACCTGCCTACGTGCCCAAGGATTTGAAAGTGTCTGGTTGAGTATGTTAGCTCCTGCAGAGAAATTTTGCGGATACTGCTTGCATGCAGAGCACAGGATGCCGACATACAGGCTCCTGCAAATTTGTGGTACGGCTCCCGAGAATTGTTGGCATGCAGCACGAGGCCCAAGCACCCCCGAGCTTCGAACTTCGACATGGCTCCGAAAGTCCGAGCCAAGCAGCCCGCCGGCCTTACCGTCCATGCTGTGGAAGAGGCCGTGGAGAAAGCCGGAACTTGAAGGACTACCTGCAAGTCTTCAAGGGCTTCTCCTTGTCAGTCACTTCCAGGTTTGAGCCAGTGCTTTGACTTTTTCAAGGAGCTGCTGCTCGTCAGTCCAACTGCTGTCACTGGACGGCATGTTAAATAATTGAAGACCATGAGGAAAGTTGTTTTACCAGATTTTTATCTTATATTATAAGTTTGGTTTAAAAGTCGTGCTTCCATCCAGGGAGTGTCGCAAAGCAAGCTGGAGGGTGCTCTGCTGGGGCTTCACGGCAGGCACCGGCTCACGGGTCCTGCAGGCAGTGCTGCTCTGCAGCGAGACTGGCTGGATGACGTCGGCACGGTGATCCGTGTACAGCTGGCGAAGCTGAGAGAGATGAAGCAGCCGCTTAATCGCAATTTTATGTGTCCATATATGTATGCATCATAAAATATGTGGCCGAGGTATCCGTGGGAGAAGCAGGCGACTGCCACCCAGACGGAGATGGTTCGGCAGCTTCTAGAGTTGATGTCGGATGCAAGTGGCAATTTAGAGAGTCAAGAAGAGGTCGGGCCGACTTCAGCGAGCTTAGCCTTAGTGGCTCCTGCCGTTAGCTTTGGGAGTTCCCGGGATTCCCAAGAGTCGCCCACGGTGCAAGAGCCGATCGTTCGGGAGCACAGCTTCATGGGAGGTGCCGAGGACATGGCCCTTCAGGCACTTAGGCTTGCCATGCAGGACTCGCCGCCGAGCCAGAAATTGAAAACCGCTGCTTTCCAGGCAAGGTCGGGTTACCGTGCATGGCCTTTTGTGTTTTCAGGGGGGGGGCAGGTCGGGTTCATAAACCAGGCCCTGCGGTTTTCGAGTATATATGTTGAGAGGAGACTGTAAGCTGGGCTCCTGGTGTGTTCTCTGTTTATGACAGGCAATTGGCTCAGGTCCTCCATATCTCTTCTTTAAGCTCGGGATTTATTTTTCGCCGCACCCGCAGGCGGTGAAGAAGTCGAAGAATGACAGGGCGGAGGAGAAACGGCGGGCCGTCTCGCTGGCAGTGCAGGATGAACACGGCGAGCTTGAGGCCAAAGGGTCCAGTGAACCGGCTGAGGCGAAAGGCCGCGCGACAGCCCAGGCCAAAGCTAAGGCCAAGGCTAAGGCCACAGCCAAGGCCAAGGCCAAGGCCAAAGCCAAAGCCAAGAGCAATACGAAGCCAGCTGTCGTCGAGATCTCGGACTCAGAGAAGGGTTCGCAGTCCGATGGAGCTGCGGCAAAGGTTGCATCCAAGGGCAATAAGCGGGCTCGGGATCAGGTGCCCGAGAATGACAACGTCATTCATCGTGTGTCCCTGACGAAGTCTCAGAAGCACAATCCCCGAACCTACATCACTGCCTGTCGCTGTGCCGATCCCGAGCGAAGGGGCAAGCACGACAAGACTCTGATCGTTGAGTACAGGCCAAAGCAGTATGGGCCAGGCTGCCTCGCAAAAGCCGAGGAAGCTCTGGCCTATCTGAAGGAGCACCATCGGGACATCCAGAAGAAGATTTAGGCCGATGCCCTGCATCGACGGGGAAGCATCGATCACGCAGGGGTCTTCTGTGCAGTGCACTTTTTGTGTTCCGGACTGCAATGCAGTCGTATCCAGTTCGAATCTGGATTTCTGTGAAGTCGCATCGCTCTCGCTACAGCATGGGAAAATTTTGAGACATCTCGTCGCATGCATGGATCGGCAGAGCAGCATACGCAGTCGTATACTCCTGCAGTTTTGGAGCCGAATGAACCTGCTGCAGTATACAGTGCTGCAGGGATCATGTCCCTACTTGCTGCGAACAGACGAGGGGTTCGGCAACGGATGCAAGAGGCTGAGGCGACACAGCCTTCTGCATTGGTCAACTACTTGCTTCGCAGGTGGGCTTGGGGATATCTTTCCTTGCCCGAAGTCCAACGACTGGCTTCACT